ACATTGATAGAAGTCGGTATTGTAAAGTATGGAGATACATTGATAGAAGTCGGTATTGTAAAGTATGGAGATACATTGATAGAAGTCGGTATTGTAAAGTATGGAGATACATTGATAGAAGTCGGTATTATAAGGTATGGAGATACATTGATAGAAGTCGGTATTGTAAGGTATGGAGATACATTGATAGAAGTCGGTATTGTAAAGTTTGGAGATACATTAATAGAAGTCGGTATTGTAAAGTATGGAGATACATTGATAGAAGTCGGTATTGTAAAGTATGGAGATACATTAATAGAAGTCGCTATTGTAAAGTATGGAGATACATTAATAGAAGTCGGTATTGTAAAGTATGGAGATACATTAATAGAAGAAACTATAACGAGGTTTACGAGCATGTAAATTCTAGAACTTGAAAAGCCCGTTTCGTCTAGAGTTAAATATAAATTATTGTGAAACACATATCTTTTACACCTATAACTTAATCTGGATAGTCAGATTACTTGGCGAATAACTACAGCCTTGAATCGCTGACAAAACTTGCGTAACATGTAGATTGCATATCTTACCCTTATACCCGTTCACAAAGTGAACTCGCCCATTCTCCCGGTTTGTTATATTAGCAAGCCACCATCCTTCTACCAGAAACTTTCACAAGCCTTTGATGGTCAATGTTCGTATCGTGCCGCTTAGAATCTAACACACGGTAGGTGGAAATATTTAGTTATATGATTCAAATTACGATAGAAAAAGTATATAAGAGTGAAAGTTAAAGAGTTGCTGATTAATATATATGATTGGCTAAAATTGAGATGAACGCGTCGATACAAGCTTGAACGAGAATTTTTTTTTAAAGCTCATGATTTTTACTGTGCCTCCAGAGGCTCCTGTTAAGGTTTTAAATATCGTCTTGCTACAACGTGTTGGTAGTCTCGGTTATTATGGTACAAGCTCAAATACCCGTCAACTGACGGGAAATATTTAAACTTAATTAAAACTATGTAAGTTTAACAGCAATCATATATTTTAAAATTATAACAAAGCTTCTTCATAAACAACATTTACAGTTTGCTTTCTATCTACTAACAAATAAAGATTTTGAGGTGATCCCGCTATTGAACACCCTACATCTTATCGACCATGAGAAAAGCATTGTTGTTTGAGGAACAATCCAGCGACTTTCATACTTTGACCTTGAACCATTTAGAATATTCAACATTGTCTAAAGCGTCAACCCGCCAAGATTGACTCAATAGGCTGGGAGTAATTAACCAACAGGCCATACAAAATAGAAATACGATTAAGTTCAATTTTAACCCCCTTAGGACATTCCCCATAGTTCATAGCGTTTACACACAAATTTTGGTTGAGATTGGACCAATAGACTCGGAGGAGTTAGGGTGCAAATAAACACACACATTTCGTCGTTATAAATATAAATACAACGCTGGCGGAGCGTGATCTGTCAGCGTAGTGTATTTGTATAGTTTATTAAGTGTGAAGGAAGCTATTCTTGTTCTCACCTCCTTTGCATGTTTCAAAGGTCGTTGTTGCATACTGGTATTGTATTACTTTTGTTTTTATTGTCTGCATTTAATCAATTTCCTGACTTCTTGATTTGAAATAATATCCATAAATATGTTGTTGTTGTTTTTATTTTAAATTAATAATACATTTAGATGATGTCAAGAAACTGATTTTTTATGTGCGTGTGATGGCTACGTCCCCGGTTATAGCTACATACGAATATCAATTATGACAGCGTATTTTTGCCACTATATATATATATTATACGCCAATGCCAGTTAGCTTAGATGCGTTTTAACATGTTTTACAAAACTACCAACAACTTTAGATTTTCGATGGTTTCGAAATAAATAAAAATTTATTTTGATTAAAATATTTTTGACAAGAATGAACTTCACTATGATACCTGGTCTTTCGTGCCATCAGTAGTTGCATTTAGGTTATGTGTCTCGATACGACCATCTAATATTATTACTTGAGTATTCGTATTCAGATTTTGTATTACTTCGCTGTTAAGGTTCTTCAGTACTATTTATATCTGTTCTGTCACACATTATATTATTTTATATATATATATATATATATATAAGTATCCCGGAGTTAGTATTAAAGTTCTGTATCACTCCGCTGTCAAGATTATACTGCACTATTCATACCTGGTCTTATATGAATATCCAGTAGTTGGTATTTAGGTTCTATTTCACTCCGTTTCCAAGAATCTACGGCACCTTTCATACCTGGTATGTCACTCATTATATAAGTATCCCGGAGTTAGTTAGTTTGTTTGTTTTTGAATTTCGCGCAAAGCTACACGAGGGTTATC